GTGTCTGGGGAGCTTTTACTCGCTTCCCAGGCCTGTAATACCCAACCGGGGAAATGATGATGTTCGATGCACTTTCAGATAGCTGTTTTTTGATGTCGACTGTTTTCATGGTTCTTTCGCGTGCTATAAAAGCAGAGGCATGTTGACAGTTATGCACAGTCACATAAAATAACGAGGTTAGCCCAGGAGCTAGCGCCATCCAAGCAAAGCTTGAGCTCTACAACAAAAACCACGACATAAATAATAAAAACGGAGCCAGACTCACAGGAGGGGAGCGTGTGAGGGCAGCAACTGCAAGGAGCAAGTATGTACAAATATCACAGGGTGGCAAACTTATTGCCACTGTTATTGCATGGGCTTTACTTATGGCATTGCAGGGTTTCAAAACTGAGAGGAACAGAAAGCCAAATAGTAATTCTTATTTGACTTTAAACTGATTTGATTTGTACTCTTGGAGGTACTCAAGCCCAAAGAGACAGAAGTAAAAAGAACCAATCTAAATGATTTGAGTGTTTGAGTGTTGTTAAAAAGACAGAAACTGATTGGAGGTGATTGGTGCACGATTCTTTCAGGCTCAAATGAACAAGGTTGGATCTCAGACAGAAATTGTCGGCATTCATTTCCAGCCTTGGCTGCTTTTATGTTTCGGTTCTATAACATTGAATATTATCGAAAACGTTTGCAAATGTCACCTTTGCCTGTGGAAAAAGCATAAAGGTCATCCATTGTTTCTAATTGATCAAGAAAACTGAACATAATTGAACCCCAGCGACCCCGGGAATACTGCCGAATTTCTTTTTTTACATTAAATATCTAATAATGTATTTATGCTGAAACTACCATATACATAAAAAACGAATAACAACGTGAGAAAACAAAGATTTAATCATATAACAAATGTCTTCCAGGTGAAAGTTACAGTAGGTGACAAATGCTGCGTATTGCACAAGATGCCAGAAAAAACACACAGAGACACAAAGCAAAATACAGCGTGCATGATAACATCTTCTAAAAAGCAGATTGAAAATATACAGTATTGACTGCTGGAGAATTTTTAAAAAGCACCCGTCGATTTCATAAAAGCTCATACACCTGTTCAAAATGTGGCGTACAGAAGCTCTTGGCTGTTTTTACTTTAAGAAGTAGGCCCTCTCAGCTGCTCCTATTAAATGGCAAAGTGATTCCTGTTGGCAGCAGGCTTCATCAACTGTATCTTTAGCAGCTGTTTGGCAGCACCAGGATGTTAACAAAGAACATAAGTCATGAGTGAAATCTCTCTGCTGCGGGCTTTGAAGCACTGTTAAATGTGAGAGCTCCACCTGAGGAAGTGAGCGGGGTTTTAGACAGACTGTTTCGTGGGTGTGTGAGGTCTGAGGTTCATCCCTGTTGATCCTTTCTCTCTGTGGTGTTTGTTGGAACGTCTCCTTAGCCCAGGAGAAGAGGAGGGAATGAATCATGATCTCTGTAGTCTAGAGAAGATTTAAACAGCATGATAGTTTTCCTGTTATTAGTTGGTTAGAGAAGACAGCGTCGGCGCCTCAAAGAGAAGCTCAAAGAAAAGCAGACATTGGCTATAATTATCTGACTGTTAGTGCCACCTGGTGGTGAGTTTCCATCATTATTTAAAAGTGTCTGTCCTTTAATAGGAATTGGAGAAGCCCAGTCCTCCTCAGAAACCTCTACCTGCTGATCCAAGGGGGTCTCGACTGGTGCGAAGTCCCTCTGTTCAGCAGAGCCAAACCGCAGGCCAAGGACCTCCTAGCGTCTGTGGCCCTGTGCCTGCCGTGCCCAGACCTGCACGTCCTATCCCACACCCCAACAGGTGGGTTCAAACCTTACCTAGATATATTTAACTCGCTGAAACATTTTTTTTACATTCTTTTTTCCACTTTTCTCTTCCTCTAGGCCGAGTCCCAAGCACCCCCCAACACTACCAAAGCCTTGCATTATTGCCAACGTCAAATACAGCAGCTGAGATTTTGGCCAGAAGGGACATTGTTATGATAAGACTGAAAAGATTTGCACTATGAAAACTCTGAAAAACCTTAAAAAGGTGGTGGCTTCTCTGAGTTTTGAATCAGGAGACCTGCCGTGTCCCTTTTGGTGCTCTGTCTCTGAATGGTGCTACGAGTCTGAGCTCAGGTACATGTAAAGTATTTATATTCAGTATTTATTGCCACGCAGTGCACTGTGCCAGACACTTTTAAGACATGGTAGCAACTTTGAATTTTGAATTACTTGTTTTCGTTTCGCGCCTTCACATCAGCCGACGTTTATGAAGGAGAGCGATCTGTGAAATTGTGACAACGGAGACGCTTTTGTGGAATGCGTTTAAATGAAGGGAACCCTTTACATTGTGGTTTTGTTTCGCGACAGAAGTAAAGAATTTCAAAAGAGAGTCGTGCAATGACAGATGGGAGCGTCAAACAACATTTGTAGTATTATTATTTTTTTAATCCACTGGGGTTTTCTTGAAGGGTAACGCTCTGTGTAGCAACTTTGGGCCATCTGACAAGGCTTGAAACAACTGCAGCAAAGGAGATTGTGATATTAATACAACAGATCTTTGATGCGTTCTGCAATCAAGAAGAGGGGCCGTTTCTTGGCTCAAAAAAGAAATCCAGGCCTGTTCCTTCTTCTTCGTCATTTTTATCACGGAAAGGTAACAAATTCAACTGTGAAATGTCACTGATTTGCCATTTCCTTTTCATTTGCAAGGCCCAATATGCTCTCTTGAGGGATCCGGGTACAGAGATCTAAAATGAGCCAAGATCATAAAAGCATCCCTCAGAAAGAGTAAACCTATCTGAAATATTTGCTCTGCTAAAGGTCATGTGTGTTTTTAATTTTTTCCCCCCCTCTATGCTTGCTGCACCAAGGACTAGATTAAATCATGGAATCACTGATGACTTGCTTAAAGGTGTTCCTCGCATGTAAACAGCCAAAGTCTGGCTGCGGTGTTCATATGTGCATTTTAAGTCATGTTTTTATCTAACTGGAAAGGACAGTTTTACTTGATAAGAAAACGTTTTTCAATTTCATTCTGCCACAGAAATGATGTTAATGGTTACTCAGTATATGCTGACTCACTCAAGTGTATCTGGGCTTTTGTTCATTTTTTAGTTTTCCTTTTTTAAAAAAAACATTTCTACTTTACATATTTTAGATAATCTTTTAAAAATGAACACTGTTTTATCATTTCGGTTTACTTAATGTTTTTGCTGGATTGCAGTGCATCATATATATAAATACATATATACATCCACAATGAGCAACATTTCCTTTGAGCACCGCTGTTGTTCACAAATATGTTTGCTAAAAACTGATATGGATAGAATTTTGTTACTTTTGATACTCTTTATAATAATGCACTAGTTTTACATGCATCGCTTTATTTACTTTGCTTTTTCAATGCTGTCTGTCTATGCCTAATAGAGACCTGTTTGTATGTTACATTGTATGTTCTTTGTATGTTGTGTTACAGGTGAGCACATTTTTTTCATGGAGAATTTTTGTTAAGGATTGTTCTTTAATGCATCATATGTAAAACAAAAACAAAAAAACACTTAAAGTGTCTGTGTCTGATCATGGTATTTTAAACAATCAGTATTAGTAAACCTGTTTTTTACACTGAAAACATTTGTTATTGACTTTTTGTGCTTTTTTTGTTACATTTACAGAAACACGGGCGACACTTGAACTCATCAATTAAAGATTCAAAACTGAAAAAAAAACAAAACAATGACATGTTCATTCCACAAGCCTGAGCCAGTGTAAATACAGAGATTTCATCCAGCTTCACATTTCAAAACCTCAGTGTCAGAACCCTCTGGCACTTTTTATGCTTAATAAACCAATTTTAAATAACATTTCAAATAATAAACATTATAATAAGGGTGATCTAACATTTTAGAGCAGCATTTATTTTCAGAAAAGTCTAAGGCTGCATACTTGCTGTAAAGGCTTATCTCATTTTAATGCTGTGAGCCTTTTTCTTAAAGCAATTTGACAAGGTCTCCATAGGGGATAGAAATAACGCTTAAATCAATAGAACTGCTTACTATCAGGATTCGCTTGCAGTGATGTGGTGGAGTTAAGTGGTTGTGTGTAATTAAAAGGATACTGAAAGGAAACTTTGGGGAGAAAATCTCTTGTTGATAAGAAATTGAGGCCGTGCGCTAACGAAGACAAATGTTTCTGATGAGCTTTTGAAATCAGCCTCAGCCAACATTTTCTAATTAGTCACATTTTATTTGTCAGTGGGTGAGAGATGAGACGCAGTGTCACCTCAGTGAAGTGTCTAAACATTGGGTTTAAAAGCTTTAAATAATGATCAAAATTACTGACATATCTGTTTTTGGCTGCTCTCAGGAGCTTTAGCTCTATTTTTTACAGATTTGCTGTTTATCAGGAGCTGAAATAGTTTCATTTATTACTCTGATAAAGATAAGGTGATTTGTAAATGAACGCCAATTATGTAAGAATATAATTGTAACATTAACTAAAGTTAAAAATGGAATTCCAGCTAACATTTAAATATAAAAACAATAATAATCATCTATATACAGCCTGCTGACTACTGCTGAAATTCTAATACACTTTAATGAGCCTGTACCTTTCAACGTTACGTGAAAAGATATTTTTAGAGATATTGTTACTGGTGGCAACAACGACGCCATAAGTGTCCTCACTGCTTTACACGTGATTTCATGATAACATGCAGGCGATTATGACAGTCTCTCGGACGTGCTTATTGGTGCATGTGAAGCTCTACGCAAATCAAAACACGTGTGAAACCACGCTGAGATGAAATTACGCACCGATGGACATTGCACGTACCAAGCTCCAAAGTGGACAGCTGCAAACTTTGAACAGCTTTAAATAAAACATTAGAAACAAAAGCCTTAGCAAAAGGATTCTCTCACCTTGTACTCCGTCCAAATACGCGAACATAGCGTGGGATTTTTGTTTTTTTAAAACGCCAGATGGAAAGGCACGCAGTCTGTTTTTCTATGCTTCCGATTTGAGAAGAATGGACCTGTAGTTGGAGTGGAAGAAGAAAACTTAATGTGCACTAGTCCTGATAAACCCGTATGTCATGTGGGAGGAAAATAATTTGGCAGAGCCGAGCGTTTGCCCTGACCGTGAAGAAAGTCCCGCAGAAGACACTTTTGGATTTGGAGATGATCTGGAGTTAAATCAGTTCGATGGATTGCCCTTTTCCTCGCGTTACTACAAGTTACTGAAGGAGAGGAAAACTCTGAGTGTGTGGAAGGTCAAATGTCAGTTTGAGGATGCTCTGGCAAACAACCAGCTGGTTATTGTGTCCGGGGCAGCAAAGACTGGCAGGAGTACACAGGTAAGAGTGTAGTCAGTGTTATTATTATTTTAGTAAGGAAAATTTTACATTCAACTTATGAACCTGGACTTATGTACAGGATGAATGTGGAGCTTCATAATAATGGGGCGTTTACCAGAGCATAACCTACACTGCGATTTGATATATTTAGGACTCCCGTTTGTCACTCAGTGTTGCCATGCTTGTGTGAACAGAAGCTGCCCAGCTCAGCAGATGATGTTGTGTCACTGTGAAGCTGTGTAAACTCCTGCCTGCCTGACCATCAGTCTGCACAAAGGCTCCAGCAGGGGTGTTAGGGGACCTCCAGCTGCTAAGCCCTGATCCGCTGGAGCCGACACATGCTGCCAAAGCAGTTTTGCATTATGAGCGATAATAGCATAGGATATCTCCTGTCACAGTTTGTTTTGCTGTGTGCTTAAACAAAAGCTGTTGGGATAATCTGAAAAGGACGCCTGTGAGTGAGAAAAAACAGCTGATGTGGTAGAAAACATTCTCTTGTTTAATATTTGGGGTAGTACTGATGTCCTGAATCATATTTTACTATAAAGACTTTTTAAGCGTTTATCAATGATCTTCTTTCAGATCCCTCAGTGGTGTGCAGAGTTCTGTCTGTCTGTCCAGTATCAGCATGGTATGGTTGTGTGCACTCAGACCGACAAACAGCAGGCTGTAGATCTGGCCTTGCGTGTCGCTGATGAAATGGACGTCAACATAGGCCATGAAGTTGGTTACACCATCCCTCTGGAGACCTGCTGCTCCTCTGACACTGTTTTGAGGTTTGTTAATGAGCTCTTACTGTGTCTATTTCACTGCCAGCAGTGGAATATCATTTGAATATAATCCACAAATTGCCCCTTTCATTCTTAAATCTTTCCTTTCCTCTATTCCTTATTAATTGATGGAGGCTCACTGCTGACAAAGGACAGAGCTCATTCTTGATCTAAATAAAGTCGACCAGTTCAAAGTCAGGAAATTATGCGCATATCTGTATAGCCTAATATTCAACAACTCTTGTTATGGCGCAGTAACTATTAGTCATTTATTGTCCCAAATGTCAAACACTCAGTAGTAGAAGCCTCCGAAATATTGCAATATTAAACTGGACAAGTCGAGGACAAAAGAGGAAGACCTAAAGATATGTAAATCTTTAAGAAGACCTGCCATAACGCCTGAAAGATGCATCTGACCCTTAGTCAATACTAAGGGTCAGACGGCAGCCAACATCCAAAGAGGAGCTTTGAATGTCCTTCAAGAAGGCTGGAGAACTGTTTGTGAAGTTAACTTAAAGAAATGACGTAAAAGCTTGACTGAGAGAGTTCAGAGTATGTAGAAGAGTGAAGGTGGTTGCACCAAATATTGACTTTCAACCCCATTAGAAATGTACAAACTCTGTTTTTACAGTATCCTATTATCCATTTTCCCAGTAAAATGAGATGTGTATATATAGAGAGAGAGAGAAATGAAAGATGACTCAAGACCTTTGCACAGTACTGCATCTAATATATCAATGCACACTAAACACTTTTTGCTTTTGAAACTTGTGCTGGGCTTTGCACATGATATGGTTTTAATCAAGTAAATGTTAGTAATAAAAACGATCATCTCTGAGTGTTATTTCCTACAGTGCCATGTGCAAATGACCCCTATTCTCACTTATGTTATAGAATACGTGCATCATTTTCACAGCATGGTGTAAATTGAAGTGAGCCTTTAATTTCTGAAAGCAGAAGCAGCTGGCGACTAATTGCTGAACGCAGGGGAGGTTTCAGCAGCTAAAGAGCCCGATAATATTTAGGAGTATGACACGGAGAAATGAAAGGGAGCTAAAAGAGGGTAAATACTGGTCTCACCAGTCAGCCAGAGATCCACTTTACATAAAAGATAAGATGTTTAAATCAGCAGCTGCAAAAAAATTAAGACTTAAAACTTAAAAGGGTTTCAGCTGTTCCCAAGTGTGTGTGTGGAGGGGGGGACTGTACTGTGTGTGTTTTTAACTAACAGGCTCAAGCAAAAGGCTGAGAAATTGACCGTATCTTATTCCTGATTTATAAACCTCTATTATTAACCCTCCTGATCACTTTGGTTTATCAGGTACTGCACTGATGATATGTTGCTGAGAGAGATGATGTCTGACCCTTTTCTTGAGCACTACGGGGTCATAATCATTGACCAGGCCCATGAAAGGACGGTTAGCACAGACATTCTGCTGGGTCTCCTCAAGGACATCCTGCTGCAGAGGCCTGAGCTCAGGGTGGTGGTTCTCACTGTGCCGCCCATGACCGACAAGCTTCTGAGGCACTACGGCAGTGTCTTGCATATCAGTCTAGAGTCCTCATGCACTGCTGAAGTTGTCCACAGCAACAACGGCAACAAAGACTACTTCTACTCAGCACTGAGACTCGTGCTGGAGATCCATCGGACCAAAGAGGGTGGAGATGTTTTCGTATTTTTAGGCTCAGCTGAGGTAAAAGATTTTATATTTCAAACAGCTCCTTCACTGTGCTAACGCCTGTTGTGATCTGGTTTAAATTTCGCTTCCACTACCTCCTGCAGGAGGTCCACTGTGCCTATAGTATCCTCCAAAGAGAAGGGACCAGGTTGGGTGGACAGTTGGGACAAATGGTACTTGTAGTCCTGTGCTCAGGCCAGGGAGGGCTACTTCCTGTCCTGCCTGAGCAGTCATGCTCCACAAAGTCCAGAAAGGTTTTTCTCAGTACCCGTCAAGGCGAGGATGCATGGTGGCCTACAGAGTCTGTCAAATTTGTCATTGACACGGGAGTCCAGAAGAAAATGGTAAGTTAATTCCAAAATGATGTAGCAATCTTAAATGAGCATTCCTCTGATATTAATTAGCACTGTTTTTACTTTTATGTAAAGGTGTACAATCCGAGAGTAAGAGCTAGCTCAGAGGTTCTTCAACCCATCAGTCAATGCCAGGCAGACATTCGCAAGCAGCTGTCTGGACCATCAGGTATAATGTCATGTCATCTCCTCACTTGGCAATACTTAAAGCGGTTATCTAAAAAGTTTCTTCTTTGAAAAAATGTAAGCTGCCATCTTTGGTAACTGAATCTGATGCTTCTTGGGTTAGAAACAACAAAAATGAGAAAAGACTGGTTAAAAGCAGACTGGTTAATTTGTCATCCTTTCATTCATTTGGATAATTTTCATACTTGCAGATTTGGACATATTACAATATTAATTAATATTTGGACTTAAGAAAGCCAAAGAAAAAACTTCCCAGCATTATTTAAAAAAAAAAAAAAAGCAAAATAAACAAATGCAAAATTTAAGTGCAACAGTTTTACTGATTTTTTTCCCTGTAGGTAAATGCTTCTGCCTGTATCCAGAAGCAAGCCCAACTTCTGCAGAGAACTCCCCACAGATCTTGGAGTCCAACATTACACCGACAGTTCTTTTCCTCAAAAGGATGGAGATAGCAGGCCTTGGACAGTGCAGTTTCATCGACAGACCAGGTAAAATATCTGTCCAGAGGAAACTAGACAAGTTGCCACTGGAACACATGCAGAACAACAAGAAGTTTTGTTCGTTATTTTAGTTTTTACTGGTTCCCACTAACAGCATCTCTCTCACAACCTAAGCCAAAGATTTGCATGTGGGAGGTTTTTGACTCAGGAAGGGCTCTGTGTAGCTGTTTGAGCCCAGTCATCCATGACTTAGCTGAGCTGACAGCCCAGCTACTAACCATTGTCTGTGCTCTGACCCACCCTAACATGAACAGAAGAGGCCAGCTCATTAACGATTACACAACATGTCTCATGTATTGCAGTGCCAGACGAGCACAATGAAGAGGAAGTCCATGCCAAAAGTGCTGTAATATTTTTTTTGAAAATGTGGAACAAAAGGCACTTGCTATATAAATTATATTTTCTCTATAGGAAAGAAATAAAAGCCGAAGGCATTTGATTTGTGATGACTGTGTCTTTGATTATTCAGATGACACAAGTTGCTGTTGATATTTTATCCCCCTTAATAGATATAGCAATGAAATGTGTGAAATTTTAAAATATTCCATTTGTTGTTGCAGATCCAGAGGGTCTCATGCAGGCGCTGGAGGAGCTCGATTACCTTGCAGCTTTAGACGACGATGGCAACTTGTCTGAAATTGGCATCATAATGTCTGAAATCCCTCTGGAACCTCAGATGGCCAAAGCGCTGCTAGCATCCTGCGAGTTTGACTGTGTGAGTGAGATGCTGACAATCACAGCCATGTTGTCAGGTACGTACGTTTTACATTTTCCCACTCCAAAATTTAAGATTAGTTACAAGTGAGGATCCTTGGACTGGTTTGTAGAATCACCAGGTGGACAGCGTAGTATTGGCTCATCTGCAGTTTCTGATGCTCTTTGGTGAGAGTGGTTTCTCTCAGTGAAGTCGACCTTGTTTGTTGTTGTGTTTTAGCACCAAGCTGCTTTGTGGAGCCGCCTGCTGCCATGAGCCACGAGGCAGTCCAGTGTCACAGAAAGTTCCAGCACCCTGAAGGAGATCACTTCACCCTCATAAACATCTACAATGCCTACAAACAAAACCAGAGAGAACAATGTAAGACTGTCATTGAACAGAACCAATCTATTCTCTTGAAGAGACAAGATATACTCTCATCAGCCACTTCATTATTTATACCTTACAGCTTTATTTCTTCATAGCATTGGTTCAATAAGGTGCTGGAAACATTCCTTTGTAATGTTCAAGGAACAGATTTAAGATGATTTGAGCTTTATTTATTTGAACATTATCCTGCTGGAAGCAGCCAAGATAATGAGCCAGTACAGTGTGGTCATAAAGGGATAGACACGGTGAGTAACAATACTCAAGTAGGCCGCGGCAGTTAAATGATGATTGATTGGTTGTAAGGGGCGGAGAGTGTGCCAAGAAAATATCCCTTAGACCAGCAGCCTGGACTGTTGATGCGGGGCAGGATGAATTAATGCATTCGCAGTGTTTATGCCATCCAAATGTCAGAGCAGAAACCAAAGCTTAACAGACCAGGCAACATTCCTAGTCTTCCATTGTCCAATTTTGTTGAGCTTGTGCAAATTGTAGCGATTTGGTTCAATTCTTTTTTTGTTCTTAAATCTGGTGTGGTCTTCTGCTGCTTCAAAGTTCAACATTGTTGCATTCAGAGATGATCTTCTGCATACCTTGGTTGAATCAAGTGCTTATATGAGTTACTGTTGCTTTTGTATCAGGTCGAAACAGTGTGCCCCTCACTTGTTGTTACTGTTTTGCCCATTCTTTGTAAACCCTAGAGATTGTTGTGTGGAAAAATCCCCATTTTGGCAAAATCAGCAGTTTCTGAGATATTCAGACCAGCCCGTCAGGTATAACAACCATACTACATTTAAAGTCACTTAATCTTTCTTCCCCATTCTGATGCTCGCTTCCAACGTCAGCTAGGTCACCTTGACCATGCCTAAATGCCTAAATGCATTGGGCTGCTGCTGCCATGTGATTTGATCAATTAAGGTATTTGCATCAATGAGCAGGTGGTGAAACAGGTGTACCTAATGAAATGACTGGTGACTTGATCTTTGTTCTCTACTGTGGTAAATTAAAACTAGATTCAAAGCCTGTGTTATCCTATGGGACAGATGTTACATTTCAGTTTCATGAAGGATTATAACCAGATGGATCAGAATAAACTATTCTATTCTAGTCTAAAAATTAACGCAAAAAACAGTTAAAAGAAGACATTAAAAATGTTTTT